TGCTGAAAACCGTCAAGAGACAGAAAGCAGGACTGCCTTGTAAGGTAAGGCTCTTTGCTGCACCCTGGAGAGGCAGCCCAAGGCCCAGAGCCTGAACTCCCGTCTTTGCTTCCTGATCTCCAGATTTGTCAGACATGTGGCCTTCGACGGGTTTATTTCATGGTTGGAGCCTCACTTTTCATGTGTGGAAAATGGGTCCTCCGAGGATTAAAGACAGAACATGGGGATGTGCTTTGTGAACGGCAGGGTCAGCGTCCCTGTGAGCAGAATGGGTAAACTGTGGGACAGCACAGTTTGCCCATTCTCTGAGCCACCGACGCCCTTCTCTGAGTCCCGGGACCAAAGGCACAGGCTCGGAGATGGGTGGTGAGGTCAATGTCCTGGGTGGAGGTGGCAGAATGGCTTTAGTTTGGAAGGGCGAGTCTCGAGGCTGAGAAGCAAGCCCTGCCCTGCGGGGAACCAAAGGATCCCAGATGTCACAGCTGTCCTTCCCCACATTTCTCTGCTTCCTTCCACATTCCAGGAGCAGGGGCGCCACCCGCCCCACCCCACCCTGCCTGTCAAAGTCTAGTCACTTAATTCCTGAGGATGTCGACTGCTAGCACTGCTCTGAGCTGGGAGCATCAGTCTCACGGGCCTTGGCTATGAGGTCGGACCTGGAGGCTCCTCCACCTTCCAGCTGCCGGGTCAGCACGGGAGTCCAGACAAGGCTACAAGGCTGTGTGCATGTTCTCCCCTCAGGTCCTAGCCTTTCCCTGGGTTGGGCTCCCGGAGCTGGAATTTTCAGCACCAGTCATGGGGCAGGGAAAGGCGCCCGCTGACTGTTGGTGGAGTCCCGGCTTGGAGGTTGTCTCCTCCTGGTCACTCATCCTGCATTCCCTGCCTCCCTCCCAAGCCAGCCGTTTTTTCTTTTCTTTCCTGTTAAACCAGTCCACCCCCCACCCCCCCCACCGCACCATCAGCCTTCTGAGGACACTTAGGACTGCAAAGAACAACACTGAGTCCAGTCTGGCTTAAGCCAACAACTAGCCCGCGGCACTCAAACAGCCAATCCGGCCTTAGGCCCAGCGAGGGTCAGAGACCACGCCGCCCCTCTGTCAGCGATGCCCTGTGTCTCGGACGGCCCCGCGTCCTGCCCTCTCAGTAACCCCAGAGAAAACAGGCAGCTTCTTCACTCAGCTTCCAGCAGCCTCTGAGCACCAAGCCTCTTTGCCCCGGCCAGCAAGCCCCTGCCTGCCCTTGAAGCAATTCTGGCCACAGAGGATGCAATGAAGGAGCGGGGAGGTCTGGGGTCAGCTCCACGGACGCTGGGGATGCCAGGAAGGTACAGCCACTGATGCCCCTCTCGAGTCATCATGTCAGAAACATCAGGTCTGGGGCTGGGACAGCAGGGCTCAGAGACAAGGGACGACCAATGGGCCAGTCACCCCCTGGTGGCTTGGGGACGGTCTCTTCTGCTCTAATGCCCCAGTGGCAGGCTCTCGAGGGGTGAGAGGCGGAATGCGAGTTGTGAAGTCCCGCCCAGAGATGAAAGGGCCTCAGTTTCTACATTTGCGGGCCCCGTTCCTTCAGTCTTGGGCTCTGGCTCTCCTGGGGCCTGGTCGCAGAAAAGCTCTGCTCCTGTCTTCCCCTCTCCTGCCTGCGACCCAGGGATGAGGCCACACCACCCTTTTCCAGAGCCTCGGGGCCCCTGGTCTTTTCTAGAAGCCTGAAAAGCCTGAGGCTTCCCTGCTTTGTCCCCTCAGAGCAGACCCCCTGAGCACAGTAGTTGCTGGGGGAGCTGTGGGCCTCAGCTCACCTCCCTCTGCCTCGGCCATTGCTGACGCTCACCCCTACCTGAAGCCCTCCCGGGAAATGCCAGGTTCGAACAACGCAGGGAAAGGGGTGTTCGGACCGTCCAGGCCCAAACGTTCTCACACCATGGCATGGAAGAAAGCTCGCCTTTATTTCAGCCCTCACCCTCCCAGGACCAGCACCGTGGCACACGGCCTGGCACCCACAGCACACAGTCCAGAAGGTCCCAGTGACCACAGGCCCCCACAATGCAGCGTCACAGATCCCCCAAAGCGGGGTGCCTGGGGCCCACTGCAGCTGGGGATGGGGAGCAGGGCCCCGACCCTGAGGAGCAGCAGAGAAAAGGCGCCAAGTGAGCGCCGGGACATGACGTGGAGTTGCAGCTACAGGACGGACCAGCAACAGCGGCAGGAGGGCCCTGCTGGCCATCACAGTCCGGGCTACAGAGCCACCCCAAAGGCGAGGACAGCCCCACGTGGGGCTCCCAGTGCCGGGCGGCCAACAGAGGTAGTGTAAACACATCTGAGGGTGGGGAGAGCCTGATGGCCAAGCCAGGTGCTCTCGGGGCTGGGGCTGCCAGCGTCCCAGGAACCACGGGGGTGAGCAGGTGAAGGGGGCCGGGGGCCGGGGGGCCGGGGGGAGCGGGGCTCTAGGACACTGATTGGGCCCAGGAAGGAAGTTTCCACAGAAATGGGGGAGCTGCAGGGACCGGCAGGCAGGGAGGAAGTGTGGGCAGAGAGAGGAGAGCAGGGGGGAGACAGGGTCGGAGAAGGGAGCAGAGGGGCAAAGAGAAACAGACGGCGCCTCAACTTTCCCCGCCCTTCTCACACCGGCCCTGTGAGCTCTGGGCTGGGCCTCCGCTCTCTCTCAACCTCTACAGGCTCCTCCCCGGCACGTCTGCCCACTCAGGTCTCGGGACAAGGCAGAGGTGAGGGCGGGAAGGGACCTGCTCAGCCCTGCTGCCTCCGCCTCTGCCCCAAACTGGGTTTGGGCCCAAGCTCCTCCTCTGCTAGGACTTCCTGCCCCAGCCTGCCCAGGCTAGTCTTCTTGCGTGTAATCTGGTAATCCCGGGTCAACTCTGCCCGGAGGCTCCCCTGAATCACAGGCCATCCTCACAGGTGGGACGGAAGGAGAGAGAAAGGGTGGAAGTGGGGGTTCTGGGGGTTGGGGGGGAGGCCTGGGAAGGGACAGGGGAGTGAGGACTCGGGTCACATTGTCAGGCCCTGTGCCAGCAATGTGGCCTGCCCTCAATCCCCGGGACCCAAGTACAGAGAAAATCTGAAGAGAGATATTTAAGAGCGTACATAATTTTTTAAAAAAATACTGTGTGTGCACGCATGTGCGCGCATCCGGGTTTTTTTTTTTTTTTTTAAACTTTAACTCATCATCTCCAGACTCCATTTAAAACGTTTTTTTTTTTTTAATTGCACTAAATTACTCATTCTAGCAGCACCACCTCAAGTAACCAGAAGCTACAAGTGCTGGATTTTAGATTTCTTACTCATTCGTTCTCAGCCCTTAACAAGGGGGTGGGAGGACTACAGAGCTTGTGGATTTCACAAGCCAGGCCAGACCAGCTCCGGGAGCTCCTGGGATCCCATCAGCAGCTACTCCCCACGTCCTGAGCTCAAGTGAGGGGCGGGGACCATTAGAACGGAAGAGCGAAGCCCTAACATTTCTAAATCTGAGCTCAAAACAAAACTACCCCAGAGCCCAGACAAAACAAGTCTCGGGACTGGTTTCTATGAAATCTTAGAGATTCTTAGGATCACGTGGTGACACGATTCGCCGACGTTCAAGTGCACAGAAACACTCGGAGGGAGCTCGTTAAATGCCAATTCTGATTCGCTTCAGGTCTGGGCCCGAGAGTCTGCATTTCTAGCAAGCTCCCAGGTGCTGTCACTGCTCCTGGCCCACCAACCACGCAGGGAAAACTATGACTCCTTAGGGGTTCTGGCTAGTAAAGGTTTGGTGCAGCCTGTTTCCCTTCCTTTACCCAAAGCCTTGAAGCCGGCTTTTCTCTGCACTTGGGCAAGTCACGGTTGTGCCCAAAGGAGGAGCCGGTTTCTGACTGGGGGCGGGGGCGTGGGGATGAAGGGAAGGATGCTGGAAGCTAAACAGAGACTAATCCTCAGGCCACTGGACAACTCTGCTCTGGAGGAACAGGAGGTCTCCTCCCCCCACCTCTGGGGTTGGGGCAGCCAATCCCAGACCCTCCTTCCTGGGGCCTGGGGGGGGGCCCTGGAAAGTGGAGAATCCCCACCCCAACCTCTCCTGATGGGCTCAGAGTCACTGGGGCTGGAGGCCGCAAGCCCAGTGGCCCGTATCCCCAGGCCAACCACACTGACGCTTAGCTGTCAGAGCTGGGGAGTGCGGAAACCACCTAGGCCTCTCCTTATTTCATCATGGAGGGGGAACCCAAGCCCAGAGAACGCATGAAACTTTCCCAAGGTCACACAGCAGGTTTGCAACGAGTTCCTGTAAAGGCCCAGAATCCTTTGAGGCAGAGCTGGCTAGAAGCCACTGGTTATTAGCCAGACTTTTGGTCACCTATAGCAGCAACTTTCAGGAAAAGGACCTTCCGGAATATTCCTGAGAGAAAGAGGAGTGTGTCAAAGGCAAATCGTGAAAAGGGATCATGGGGGTTCACCTAGGAAGGGGAAGGTCATGGATCAAAGTTTCTTCAAGGAAGGTAGAGGGCAGGGCTTCTGCCCTAACAGAACTCTAGAGACAGCATTCATCTTGTCCTCTGCTGAACGGTGCTCCCTAGAGTTCTGTCTCTTGTGCAGTGCACAGCCTGTGCAGCCTGGCAGGGAGGCCTGGTTAATGCAGTGGAGGGGCGGGGGGTGGGGGGGTCAGAGGCGAGGTCTCAGGTCATGTGTACAAGGGATTCTCAAGTCTGGATTCCTGGACCACTCCAGACCTATTGAACCAGAATCCCTGCAGCTGGTGCTTCCCTCCCAGGGAAAATCCCTGGGTTTAGGAACGAGCCTGGGCTCACTTGGTCAGACAGGGATGGGGACAGCCAGCTTGGGTGGGAAGTTCAGCAGGCAGGGCTAGGCCCTAAGGCTGGGGAAGAGGTGCCTGTTCCCCAGAAAGCATTTCCCAGAGGTGGGTATCCCCCCACCCTACCCTACCCCGGAGTCTGAGGGGAGACTGGCAGCTGGGCTTGGGAGCAGAAGGGCAGCACCTGTGCGGGCTGGGCCTCATTTTCCAAAGAACTGGCCCGGTCTCGCCTTCTCCAGCTTCTGTCGCCGATCAAGGGGGATCTCCTGCAGACTGATGCCATGGTTGCTGGCCCTGCGGTAGAGAGGGCAGCAGCTTCAGGGACGGGGAGTGGGAGGGCAGGATCAGGCACCGCAGGAGACCTGGAGAAGGCGTGAAGGGGGCTGGAGGCTGGCTCCTCACCCGGGTTGCAGGTCAGGCGGTTTTGGGATGGGCTTGTTGAAGCCGAGTCTGCCCACCAGCCAGTACGTGTCTTCTGCGCCCCTGCCCTGGGGAAACACGGGGGAGGGGAGCACTTAGGGTGCTGGGGTGAGGGTGGGTGGATCTTGAGGTCTGAGTGGAACCCGACCTGGGTCCAGGACGGGGCGGGGCCTAGCCTCACCTTCAGCTCGGTGCGGCCTCGCACCTCCGTCTGGAAGCCCTGGTCCAGAGCGCGGAGAATCCGCACGGTGCTTATGTTCACGTGGATACGGTAAGCTGGGATGACAGGGGGCGCGGGGATTTCGGGACTCCCCTCCCGCGTCCGCCCCACCCCCCCAGCCGTTCCCCCACTGCTCGGTGAGTCGCCCCCCCACCCCAGCCCCGCCCGCCCCCGCCCCACTCACGCAGCCCCGTGGACTCCATGCGCGAGGCGGTGTTGACCGTGTCCCCAAACAGGCAGTACCGCGGCATGGTGAGGCCCACCACGCCCGCCACGCACGGGCCTGCGGAGACGCGCAGGGTGGGTGGCAGTGCTGGCGGCTGGGGGAGGCACCTAGCACCTCGGGGGACGCTGGCACCCCATCATCTCCACCAGCTCCCCAAGGCAACACTATCAAGGGTACCTCTTCATCACAACGGGGTGGCTGGTAGGCAGAGGTGGCTTCTAGACAAGTCCCCCCACCGCCAACCCCCCCACTCCGTGAGTGGGCGTCCTGTCTCTGGACCGCGGAGACGGGCCCCGGCGGGGCAGACGGGCGCGAGGGCCCGGGAGTTACCCGAGTGCAGGCCGATGCGGATGCGCACGGGCACTTCGGGCATGTGGCGCATTCGGAAGGAGCCCACGGCGCTGAGGATGTCCAGAGCCATGTTGGCGATCTCGGCGGCATGCCGCTGCCCGTTCCGCTGGGGCAGCCCCGAGGCCACCATGTAGGCGTCCCCAATTGTCTCCACCTGAAGGAAGGGGTCGTGCGGCTTCATTACTGAGCACCCCTCTCCCCCAAAACCATTGTCCGTTGAGGGGGACCTCAACGGGGGTTAGTGCAGGGATCCGGGGGAGGCTTCCAACCTGGGGAGCTGGCAGAAGGGACAGAGGGCTTCGAAGGACTGGGGCAGGTGGGCTGGGGGCTGGTGAAGCTGAAGGATGCTTTGCTCCCCCCACCCCCCCCCGCACACCCCACCTTGTAGACGTCGTGGGAGCCGATGATGGCATCGAAGAGTGTGTAGAGGTCGTTGAGCAGATCCACCACCTCGATGGGCTCGCTCATGGCTGAGATGGTGGTGAAGCCCACGATGTCACTGAAGTAGAGCGTCACCTCCTCAAAGTACTCGGGCTCCACAGGTGTCCCCATCTTCAGGGCCTGGGCCACAGAACTAGGGATGGCGGGGGGCAGGATTACCTGGACACGCCAGACGGGCTGCATTCCCGCTCTTCCCGCTGCCCTCCCGCCCCCCCCCCGCTCTCCCCCCCACAGGCACCCACGGAGGCAGCATCTGCGTGAGCAGCCGGTCGGTCTTCTGCTTCTCCAGCTCCAGCTCTTCTGTGCGCTCCCCGATCAGGTCCTCCAGGTTACTGGAGTATTGCTCCAACATCCTCAGCATGGAGTCAATGATGTTCATTTTCCGGCCCTTGTTGATGCCTTTGAACTAGCAGGAGGAGGAAGCTGGTGGGAACTGGGCTGCCGTGACCCCTGTGTGCCACCCCCCCTCCCCGTTCATCTTTTACTCATCAACCACCCCCTACCCCCCGGGGATGCCAGGCCCTGTGTTTTCACACATTATCAGGAGACAGACGGGAAATGGAGGTTCCCCGAGGTCAGCTACTCTCAGCTAGTAATTGTCAAGGCACTGGAACCAGCCCAGCCTTTGGACTCCCAGGCCAAGGGTCTTTCTGCCACACTGTGCCAAACATTTCTCCCACCCAGAGCTTTGTCTCCCGCTCCAAAGGCCTCGATAGGCCCTGTTCTCACTCTGCCCCCACCTAATCCCAGTCCTCAGACTACCCCTTTGGGAGATAGCCTGGAGATCAGAGATCCTGCTAGTCTGCCTTCTGGAAGCCTCCCCAGGTTGCTGACACGTGGCCAGCGCAGCCCTAGCCCCAATCCCAGTCCCTAACCTGGTCGAAGATGCGGTCCAAGGAGGGCCGAAGTTCTGGCTGCTCTGCCCAGCATTGTTTCATCAGCTGGATGCACTCCATGGGTGCCTGGTCCATGGACACAGAGGGCCGACACAGTGGAGGGGGGCTCCGCACCCTCTGCACCACTTCTGGAGGCATAAGGGGGCCAAGAGAAGCCACCTCTGACTCTGGCCTGATTGCTGAAGCTCAAGATGGGGACACTGGATGGGGGTTCTTTAAATCAGAGCTTCGGTAGGTGGGAAAGTGTAGTGAAGGAGGGGGTTGCTGGAGCAACAAAAGGATCTTGAACCCTGGGGGACAGGGGGCAGTAAGAAGTGATAGGCCGAGCCTAACAGCTACTGCGCATAAGAAGAGGGAGGGTTGGGGTGATCAAGGTTGGGGTGATCAAGGATCTGAACCAGATCCGACTGCTCTACACCCCCTTCTCCCAACACTGCTCCCTCCCTGGGGCCCCTAAGAACCAGAGAGGAGCCTGCTCCCTCAGTTGGAGGAGCAGGTTGGGGCCAGAACGAAGACAGAGGCAACCACTGAAGTCTGCGCGCCTAAGAGCCACCCCGTCCATCCCGATGCTTGGCTCTCCACTGCCCTGACCCTTCAGACCCACATAAGGGAGGCCCCCATAATTAAGCCTCTGCTCCGGGCTTTCGGGAAAAGAGGCTGGAGCTGGCGAAGCTCTGCCTAAAAGCAGGCTGCCTTCCTAGCACAACGGCCCATGCACGGGGCGGCGTACCCTCGGCAGTCAGCTCCAGCATGGCGTAGGGGGCGCTGCGACACACGACCTCCTGCATGATGATGCCCAGGCTGAAGACGTCACCCGCCAGCGTTCCCCTGCGCTCCAGGGCTGGGTCCCGAAGCAGCTCCGGGGCTGTCCATAGCTGGTCTGGGGTCGGGGAAGGGGGCGTGGGCAAGCGGAGGGCCCTGGGGGCGCCGGGGACAGACCCCCACCCTAACCAGAAAGGCCCGGCTCGCACCCACTCACCAACTCCCAGGCTGAGTCTGGCCTCGCTACCTGCAGCTACCCCCCCCCAGATAAAACTACCAGAAAACCAACGCGGGTCCCAGAGAAAGCGGGGTCCTCACAAATAGGCTCCGCCCTTTAGACCCAGCGGGGCTCAGAGGAGACTCCGCCCTTCAGGCACAAGCCACGCCCCCAGCCAGCCCCCGCCTCCCCAATCACAGAGTCCACCCTTCTCATCTCAGAAGTCACAAGACCTTTGCCGTGGTAGCAGCCACGTCCAGTGGCGGTGGAATGGAGAGCATGCGAAGGCGGAGGGAGGGGTGGAGGGACCCTGGAAATAATGGGAATCCTAGGGGAGGCGCTTCTGCGCGCGGGGGGGCAGCCAGGAATCCTACCCTCCGCGCTGGGAGGCTCCGCTAACACCCTCTGCGCTTCCAGCAGTCGCCCGTGGCCGTGGTCCGTGACTTTGAGCACGAACCTCCCGTCCACCACGCAGTTCCGTGACTTAAGCCGCCCGTGGGCCACGCCTCGATGGTGCAGATACCTCATTCCCTGGAAGGGTGGGAGGGAAGGCGGCCTCAGCCCCGCGGCTCCCTGCCGTGTCCTCCCCTCCACACCCGCACCCCACACACCTTGATGAGGTCCAGGAGGAGGGAGGACTTAAACATCCAGTCCAGCTTGATGTCTCTGTGGGCGAGGAGGTCGTGGAGGGAGCCCCGGGTGCAGTGCTCTGAGACCAGAGCCAGCACGCCTTCCCCCGCGGCCGCCGAGCCACCCGCTCCGCCGCCGAGGAAGAGCCCCAGGTAGAGGGCCACGTTCTCGTGCCGGAGCTCCTGGAGCTGGGAGGGAGAAAGTGAACGGGCATTTTCTGCCCTGGAAGCAACGTAAGGAGGAGACCTGTTATTCAGGCCTGTTTCTGAGTGTCCCAACTCGGAAGATGCGATAAGAATGGTGGATAGAAAGGTCCCTGGGGCGGGGAGAGAGGCTTGCTTCCGCAGATCACGTCTCCCCGGTTCAGATGCTTAGCAGGCTTTAGCTTCAAGTTAGGACTGAAAAGACAAACTTGCCCGGGGAACCAGGACCCAGGCAGGTTCCGGTAAGACTTTGAACTGCCTGGCTTTAGGGGGAAACACTCCATGGAGAAGCCCCCGGCACCAGTGCCCTCCCCTTCTGACATGACAGCCCTTGCAGAGAGAACCAGGAAGAAGCCTCGCTGCTTTCTAAGAAAGCACCAGAAATGGCTGTGCGAGAGATGGCTCAGGGCTGCCTTACTTGGTTCTGTCACTGTGTCAGAAATGTCTGAGACTCCCAGCCTCCCCAGGTTGGGGAAGGAGCAACTGAGCAGTCGAGCTGTGGTCCCAGAGGAGGACAGGCCCCCTCCCCCCCAGTCTGGGCAGCCTGGGAAAACAGGGGCTAGCAGGTGACGGTTGTCCTTCCCAGCTTTCCTTCGGTCCAGTAAGGGGCTTGCTTTCATCTGAGATGCCTGCCATTAAATGGTGATTTAGCCGGTTGACCCTAAGTCACTCTGCAGCTGTGGCCACAGAGCTTCGGTCGAGGCCTCAGGGAAGGAGGCCAGGCCAGGGCTGCGTGATGTAAGGACCAGAATAAGCCAGTCTACTGCTTGCCTGCCAGCTTCCCCTTCGCTCAAGCCCTTTTTAACTTTCTGTCATTCACTCAACAAACATTCATTACGTCTCTCTAACGTTCCAGACACCGTGCTGGGTGCCAAACATGCAATGATGGGGCAGGGGAAGCCTTCACTTAGCTTGCAGTCCAGTGACTGAGGCAGATAAGAAATATGCTAGAGGGGCGCCTGGGTGGCTCAGTCGGTGGAGCATCCGACTCTTGATTTCAGCTCAGGTCATGATCTCACGGTCGTGGGATCAAGCCCCAAGTCAGGCAGTCTGCTTGAGATTCTCTCTCTCCCTCTCTCTCTCTGCCCCCCTTCTCTGAAATAAATAAATAAATCTTTAAAAAAAAATACGCAAGCCCACACTGAACCTACAATGACAAATCATGATAAGCACACCGAAAGAAAGAACTAGTATTATGAAAGAGCGTAGAAATCTGCTTTAGAGAGGAGGGCCCACTCTCACCTTGGAGAAGGCTGTCTTGGTTGCTGAGCGGATAGCTATGTGCTGATCCCCGGGAAATTTCTTCAGCCAAACCCAGTCTCCCTGGAGCAAAGATGGGAGTAGTGAACTCAGCCTGCTTGCTTGCTTTCTTTCTTTCCTTCTTTCTTTCTTTCTTCTTTCCTTTTCCTTTGCTTTGTGTGAACTCAGTTTCTTAAAACCCCGCGAGGCGAGGATCCCTAGGGCCCCCACATTTCCACTGGCCCCCTGCCCCAGATACATCTTCCCTGTGACGCAGAGCGTCAGGAGCAAGGGGCTTGAGGTCTGCGGGTCCACTTCGCAGCTAGCCAGGAGGGAGCCCCCCCCTTGCATGGCTGTCCTCACCCCCTCAGATGCACTCACCAACAGCCTTACTAAGCAAGCCATTACCACCACACATGTCACTGAGACCACAGCCCTTGGCACCCTCTGTTGCCATGAGAGAGCACTGTGCTGGGAGTCAGGAGCCTGGGTAGGTCAGGCTTTTTATTACAGACAAACTGCAAAGGACAGGCAGTTCCCCTCCAGGCTCTGAGCCACCCTGTCCTCAGCTGTTGGTTGGCCTGGTTCACGGGGACGCAGGTGATGGGGTCCTCGGAGCCTCTGCATTCTCTGTGTGACCTGACGCCTGGGAGCTCTAAATCTCCATCCCACCCTCCTGATTAGCTCAGTTCCCACAGTTCTCTCTGAGTCTGTTCACAATTTCACCCCCATCCCACCAAGTTTAGATTGGTTGACCCATAGTTAAGATCCTAATGCACTTTTGTGACTTTCTTTTTCCCCCTCTAAGGCTTGTTGTTCCTGAGTCTGAGCTGAACTGGGTGGCAATGCTGGGTGGGGCAAAGACTTGGGTCTGTCTTGAGTTGGGGACAGCCCTGTCTGGAAACTCCCGCAAACAATCCATGTCCTGGAAATGTCCTTTTTGTGACCATGAGACCACGTCCCAGGTGACCCTCTGCCCCAACCTTTCCAAGGAGGCCCATATCCTCCGGTAACCTGAAGTCTTGGATCACTGAGGGGACAGGGCAGGGGATGGCTTCAGTGGGCCACACCAGGCTGCATGGTCCCAGTACATCCTCCACCCCCGCCCCCCCAGTCAGGCCTCCAGCCTCTGAGCCACTGGGATTAGCCTTTGAGGAGTGCTCATCTGGATAAAGGCTAAGGTGAACTCCTGGGACAGGAATGATTCCCAGATGTTCCCCTTTGGGGAACCCAATGACCTCTTCTTAGAGCCCATTCTGGGCTCCTATCACCATTTCCCGGAGCCTGCAGGATATGACACAACTCCAGGAATAGAGCCGGGCCTGGCCGGGGTGAGGCTCACCTCATAGACACCAATGTTGGAGCTCTCCGAGGGCTGGCTGGGGACGCTGCGAATGTCTGACGTGCTGCGGGCGGCCAGACTCGATCGGCTCCCCTGGACCACCTGGAGGGCAGAGATCAATGCAAGGGATCAAAATATACTGTAGGGTTAGAGTCCTGGGTTGAGGTCAGGCTGAGTTCTGGGGATTACAGAGAGGAGGGGAAGAACTCTTTAATTAGGGAAGGTGATAATGACATTACTTCCCAATTGCACTGCACTTTACAGTTTACAAAACAAACAAGTTGGTTTTCTCGGAGCTTCACTCTGCCCCAGGAAAGCAGCAGGGACAGGAGCTCTTACTCTCATTGCACACCCCCAGAACTCAGACCTGAGAGGGAGCCAGGCCAGACAGGAGGCCTTCCCAGGTGGGGGCTGACGTGAGGGCTGGCACAGGCAGGGGACCAGATATACAGGGAAGGACACTTGGAGAGCAGGCTCCCTGCCAGAGATCCCTTGCCTCCCTGCTTCCCCCACCTTTCGCGTGCTGCCCCCTGGCGGGTGGAGAAAGGTGATATCGTCCAGAGTCAGTATGATCTTGTTGGGGCCAGAGACCATTTGGATGTGAAGTAGCCGATGCCTGGGAGGGAAAGGATGTCATCTGCTCAAAGGGGACCAAAGTCCGTGAGAGGAGGCAGGTAGGGGATAGTGTTGGCTCAGGGGAGAGCAGCCATCCCCAAACCAAGCATCTTCTGGCCGGCCACCCCTTGGGGCACCGCCTCTCCCCCAATCCTCCCCTTTTCCACTCTTGAGCGGGCTCAGCCTGCTGTCCTTGCTGCCCAGATGCAATTCGGGGAGATGGAGAGCCAAGCTCGTCTCCTACCCGCCTCACTCCCATACTCACCTCACATAATGGGCCAGGAAGGCCCCCATCAGCCCCATCCCAACCACCAGGAGGAAGCCGATAAAGATGAGGCGGGGCTCCACTCCTGGAGAGGCAGTAAGAGGAGGAACACTGAGGGTCCCGCGGCCAGGGGGAGGCGCCCTCTCTATCGAGGTATGCAGTCATGTCAAATCCGGGAGGCTCTAGCAAAGGTGGACGGGAGCCCAGAACGAGGTCTAGGGAAAGGCTATGGGTTCTGCAGAGGGGAGCCTCTGGGAATGCTAGAAAAGTTCCAAGAGGGCTTTGGAGGCTTGGCAAGAGAAAGGGTCCGCACAAGCCAGGGGTCTGAGGAGGACCTGGAAGGAGTTACAGGGCGAGAGTTCACTCTCTTTCACCAGTTTGTGGAGGGTCCGCGCTGACTGTCCCAGTGGGGGCTGGGGTGCTCGCCCTCACCTCCGTTGCAGATGATGTCTGGCTCGAACCAGCACGAGGGGTCTGGCCCAGGTGCTCCTCCCCCTCTAGGGAAATGCACTGGGGTCCCAGCTGAGCGGAGGGAGCCCCGGGTGGGGTCCAGCATGTAGGTGGCGAAGAGCTGATCCCCCGCCGCATCCGTGTCCAGCAGCACGAACGGGGGCTCCTTGGCTCCTCCCAGGGCCCCGCAGAAGCCGGGCACCTGGGCATCCTGCATGTGGCGGGCCACCGCCTCTGCGGACACCCAGCCGCCCCCTGCGGCCGCCCGCGCCCGCGCCACGCCCCCCGCCAGCAGGAAGACCGCGTCGTAGATGGTGCCGAAGAGTGGGGACACCTGCGGAAGGAGAGGACGGGCTCAGGGTTTGGGGTCACCGCCCACACACAGACGCGGGCTGACTGGCCCACCCAGCCTTTCACTGCTTCTTTCAAGCCCTCAAGCCACACGTGTATAGACTTCACACCTCGTTAGTGCTTCCAGGTGTCCCTGGGTGCTGTCTCCTCCTCTCTCCCCATTGGCTCTCTCCTCCTCTCTCCCCATTGGCTTACTCTCTCCTTCTCTCTTTTCCCATTGGCTCTCTCCTCCTCTCTCCCCATTGGCTTACTCTCTCCTCTCTTTCTTCCCATTGGCTCTCTCCTCCTCCCTTTCTCTTTCGTCCCATTGGCCCTCTCCTCCTCTCTCCCCATTGGCTCTCTTCTCTCCCCTCTTCCTCGCTGACCTTCCCTCTTTTCACGGTTCTTAGGCACTTCTCACCGCTGGTTATTCCTACTCTCCATCACCAATAGCTCCTCTCTCCCCTTTCCTGTTGGTTACCCTGCTTATATTTTTCATATCATTACCTCTCATTCACCTAAAAGCCTCCTTTCCTATCTTTTGGTTGGCTTCTCTCTTCTATTTTTCCTTCTTTTCTTCCCCCAAGGCTATCACCCCATTTCATCGAGCTCATTTTTCTCAGTTCCCATCTCTCCCAGTGCCAGGCACTGTGTAAAGTAATAGGTGATACTGAGATCTTGATAAGATAAAGTCCCTGTCCCGAGGAATCTTTCTTCTAGTTGGGGAGACAGACACCGAGGCTAAGACAGTGCCATGGGTGAGGGTAGGGGGGAGGAGAAGGCTTCCAGAAGAAGTGACCATCCTTCAGAGGATGAGTCAGAATTATCCGGGGGAGGGGAGGGGCAGGAGAGAGGGAAGAGCACACCCCACAGCACGGAGGCAAAAGAGAAGAGCACATTTAGGAAACCCAAAGTAGCACTGTCTGGTTGAAGTTCAAGGGAAATGGAAGAGAGAGGAAGACGAGACACCTGGTCAGCCATCTGAAGAGACCTGCATCTATTCAGGGCAAGAGAAGCTCCCAGGAGGCTCTGAACAGGGGTGTGACTCAGTGAGATTTGTCCGATTTCTGAAGTTTGAACTGATTGTTGGGTGGAGAAAGGCCCGGGGCAGGTAAGCATTGAAGCAGAGACCATTTGGCAGATTCTGTTTCAAAGATTTGGATCAGAGGGGCTGTGGCCTGAACCAGGGCAGTGGCAGTGGGAATGGAGAAAGTGGATGGATTCAAATGACTTTTGCCAAGTAAAACTGACAAGACTTGATGTCTGGGTGTGTGTGTGTGTGGGTGGGTGGGTGTGTGTGCGTGTGTGTGTGTGCGTGTGTGTGTCAGGGGGAAGATGAGAGGAATCAAGGGTGATTTCCAGGGGTCTCATAGGGAGCTAGGCGGAAGATTGTGCCAGTTAGGGAGAACTGAAGACGCTTTTTCATCACTTCATCCACCTGCCCTGCACCCCACTTCACCACTGTGACTGACTCTTTTTCTCCTCTTGTTATTGACTCTTCTCATCCTTTCTCCATTGGCTACCCCAAATCCTCTTGGAGGAGACTAGGGGTGTTGGGGGGGATATCTCACAGCCATCTCTCAAATTCAACCCTTTGATTAGGGCCTTTGTGGTGGTTAATTTACTGCCCACTGACATCTAAACTCCCTTCTATGTTAGTGGTTTCCAGCCCCCTCCCCTTTCTATGACTGGTATGGAGTTAGATGGTCTGAACCGGGATTCTGGAATCTCAGGGAATCCTGGGTGTTAGCTGGTTGTCGGGAGTACGCTGTGGATCTCAATGATCATGGGAGCTCCTGGCTCCACCTAGAGATCTTTCTGCTCCTCACAAGTTGTCAAGGCTCTCAAAAAGTTATGACCACCAGATGAAGCCCCAGAAGAAACACTTCTAAACTGGGCATGGAGATTGGAGCTGCATCCTTCCTCCTTCCTGTTCTCTTAAGAACACCAGCAGTGTATCATAGACTGTGCTGGAGGTGGGTTTACTTTGAAGCAGACTGCCAAACATTGCAGGGTAGACTTCACTAGGTTCTACTGCTTGGAGCTGGGCCTGAGAGGTCTCACTGCCTACACTCCAGAAGCAATCCCAGTACACTAAGATACCCCAAGCAAGACCAGAACCTTTACATTACCCAGGAAACTTCAGAACAGGTGGGGCCGCTAGTTAGTCTCTCCCTACTGGCGCCACCCTCCTGTCTCCCACTGACTCCATCTTCTGATTCCACTGACCCTGTCAACTTCTCATTGTCTCCGTCCTCCTTTCCCCTCTCCAGCATCTCCTGCTCTCTTCCCCGGCTCTCCACCCCTCTTCCCTCCTCCCTGGTCCCTCTACCTGCTCCAGATTGAGGTCAGAGGGCAGCTCCTGGTGCTCCTGGGCCCTGCTCAGGCTGTCCATCACGCTGCCTCCCGGGGGACAGTGACGCGTGAGGGTGAGCACTGCATCGTGGGCCCTACGAAGCTGTGAGCTGTTGGCGAGCGCGGCCAAGGCCTCCGGGCCCGGGGACAAGGCGTAGTGGAGCGTGTCGAAGGGCAGGAAGACCAGGGAGCCATCGGCCAGGCCCAGCTCTTCTGCCGCCTGCAGTAAGCAGCGCTGCTCCTCGCCGCCCAGCAACACCGAATGCATCACCATGATCACTGCTGCGGACCGACCGACGGAGACTCCGGCTCACTGCGGCGCCCGGCTGCCCGCCGGCGGCGTCGCCCCCCTCCCCGCACCCTGCAGGGGAGCCTACCACTGACTCTGGGCCCGTCCTGGACCCTCCTCAGGGCCTCCCGGGCTCCCGACAGGTCCGAGGGCTCCATGGTGGTCACCAGGGCCACGGGCAGACCCCGGGCCCTGAGCGCGGCGGACAGCGCGCGGCCCGCCTCCACCCACAGGTCCTGCGGCGCGGTGACCAGGGCCACGCGCGCCCAGCGGAAGGCGCGGAGGAGAGCGTAGAGGGCGTCCGCCGCGGGCGTCCCGGCGGGGGCCGTCGTGCCCGCCGCCCGCGTCCCGGGGCAGCCCCAGGGCACCAGCGCCACGCCCGCCTCTTGGGCTAGGAGCTCGGCCGGCCGGCAGGCCGCGGGGTTCACCGGCCCCACGAGGCCCGAGACGCGGCCCAGCGCGGAGGACACCGCCCCCAGGGAGCCCGGCGTCCGGCAAGGCTCTGGCAGCAGCGTGACCTCGAAGCGGGGGCTGCCTTCCAGCGCCGGGTCGCGGTTCAGGCGGGCGGCGGCCAGGCGGGCGGCCAGGTCCGGGCGGGCGCGGGCGAAGATAGGGTCGCAGGCCCAGGGGCCCAGCACCCCCACTGTGAAGACGGCCGAGAGGACCGAGGGCGGCAGGAGAAGCAGCAGCAGCAGGAGCCGGAGCCGGGGCAAGGGCAGGGCCCGGGGAACGCGGAGCGGGGATGGAGCCCGCGGCGCGCGGGCGCAGAGCCGGGGGTCCCGAAGCGCACCCGCAAGGAGGGCGCACGCGCGCATCGCCGGCTTCTGGGAGCAAAAGCGGAGCCGGATGAGCGGACGAGACCCCCAGAACTCTCGTAGGGCTCCCTCCGCAATCCCCCCCAACCCCACAGTTTCTCAAAGCCCAACTAACCCGGGACGTGGATTCATTTCCACAGCAACCCCCTCCCGGGCTCGGACGACTCTATGAGGGTCAAGGGCTTAGCCTGGAAGCCCACCGCACCCCGACTCCCAAACCTCTGCTTCTCCTGCTGCCTGTTCCCCTCTTGCCTGCCCCCCCCCCCGCCCCAGAGCCATCAGGGGTCAGTAGAGACACGCCCATGCCCTCCTCAGATCCATCTGGGGCAGAAGGGACCCGAATCCCTGCGGAGGGGCCTTTGCCACTCACCGGAAAGTCCGGGGCTCGGGCCCAGGCCCCAGGTGAGGGGTCACAGGGCAGATACTCCTTCTGACGCCCTCCCACAGGTCTCCTTTGCCAGCCCGGCCCAGGGCGGGGGGTGTGGGAACAGCTGTCCCCAGCCCTTAATCTCCCCAAGCTGATTAGGGTCCCTTAATCAGGCAGGGAGGAGTTGGTGGAGGATGGGGCTCCCTGGCGTGGGATCTATCCTGGCCCCCAGGCAACCAGCGGACTCTTTCTCCTCCGTGCCTCTCAACCTCGGGCGGACACCCAACATGAAAGCAGCCAGCCCTTTTCAAGCTGCTGCCACATTAACCCTGCTCAGCCTGGGAAGCAGTAAGATGAGCCCATGGGTGATCAGTTTCGCGGGGTGGGGGTGGGCATCTCTCAGGCTCATTCCCTCCAATCATCTATCATCTCTTTCCACTTTTGGCCTCCAGGTTCAAGCCCCATCCCTTGGCCGGCAAAGTCCTATAAGACCAACCCCAAACCAGTCTGATATCTGTCTTCTCTCATCTGCCCACACTTAATTCTCTGATTTTCACTTCTCCATGCCTAGAAACCTGGCCCTTGGGCCTTGGGAAGGCAGAACCCCAGGAAATAATGGCAAGAGCTCCGGCCTTGGGCGGGCCTGGGTTCAAATTCCTCCTTCCTGGCTTCTTGACCTTGGGAAAGTTGCTTAATCTCTCCGAAGGTTGTTGTGAAAAGTACCTGTGATAATGAATATAGTGCCTGGACAACAAAGATGATTAAGACAAATTTAAAGGAGAATGTGATGGGAGACTTGCTCTACCACATATCAAGATTTATTACAAAGGGGGCGCCTGGGTGGCTCAGATGGCTGAGCGTCTGCCTTCGGCTCAGGTCATGATCCCGGAGTCCTGGGATCGAGTCCCACATCGGGCTCCCTGCTCCTTGGGAGCCTGCTTCTCCCTCTGCCTCTCTCTCTCTCTGTTTCTGTCTCTCATGAATAAATAAATAAAATCTTTAAAAAAAAAAAGATTTATTACAAAGGGTATTGGTGTGGGAATAAACAAGTAGACCGATGGAACAGAATAAAGCACACGGGGACAAACCCAGCAAAAATGGAAATCTGAGGCATGAAAAAGTGGACGTTTCTTACCAGTGGGGAAAGGATGAGTTTTCCACAAATGGAGCTGATTAGCTAGCCATCTGAGAGCAGACAGGATGAAGGAATAGGGTGCGATCCCTCACAGTATACAAAATCAAATCAATTTAAAGGCATACATAACAAACAAAACTTAAAAACATGTCAGTGAATCCTTTTTCAACCATCATGGCAAAGATTGGATCGGGCAAGAATCCTCAGTGGATGCTTACGCTAGCGGGAAATTGTAATGAGAAGCGGGATGTTTGCATGTCTTAAAAGATCCCCCTACAGGTTGCTTACCACTTGGAAGGAAGCACAAAAAAATAGAAAGCATTTTATACAGTGGAAAGATTGGGCAACACTTTGACCGGGGATCAAAATTAACCAATGAGGGGCAGATAGACATCCTGTGCCTCCTGACATGATGCCCTGGGAAAGACACAAGAGTATATCTGCACAACACTGTAGTGAGGCAGGACTGCATATCGCACATCTGTGCAGAGGTCCAGCTGCTTTCATCAGCCCAACCTAATCACGAGCAAACATCTGCCAAACACAGAATGAGGAACGTTTTACTAAAAACCGGGGGAGGGGACTGTATTCTTCAAAAACATCAGTATTCTAAAGGACAAATAAAGGTTGATGAATTGTTCTAGATTAAAGGAAGTAAAAAAAGAATGACAATTAAATACGATCCCTGCTCCTACTTTGGATCCTGCATTTAAAACTGCTATAAGGCTATGTGGCACCTGGCTGACTCAGTCGGAGGAGCGTGCGACTCTAGAGCTCGGGGTTGTGAGTTCGAGCCCCATGATGGGTGCAGAGATTACTAAAAAAAAACGAAATAAACTTATAAAAACAATCATCTAAAACTGCTATATGGTTATATAGTTTATAGGGTTATAAAAAGGCTATGAAGAGTGTCAACATCAAATTTGTCAACTGACAAAATTGAGATATGAATGGGAGATTTGATAAAATGTATTTTATCAATGTAAATTTATGAGGTTGATAACTGGTCTGTAGTAGTGTAAGAGATTATCCCTATTCCTAGGAAATATGCACCAGAAGCATTTAGCTGTAATAATAACTTATAATGTATGTCACATACCTTGAAATAGTCAAGAAAAAATATGATATGTATATGTATTATATATGTTATGTTGCATATATTACATGTATCAAGTGATAAATGGGTAGAATGTTAACACTAGGTCAACTAGGTAAAGGGTATATGAATGTTCTTTGTACTATTTTTAGTTTTGCAACATTTTTTCAAATTATTTCAATTATGTAAATAAAAATACGTTAATACGTTCAAATAGGTTAATAAAAAAAGCCTTTTAGGTAAAAAAGAGAATATCTGTATCAATTCAAAGTAGGAAAGGATTTCTCAAACAAGACACATAAAGTACAAACCATAAAGGAAAAGACTGATACACTTGAAAACATTAAAATTAAAATGTCTGGGGGCACCTGGGCGACTCAGTCGGTCTTAAAGGATCCCCCTACAGATTGCCTCCGACTCTTGGTTTCAGCTCAGGTTATGATCTCAGAGTCAGGCTCCATGCTCAGCGGGAAGTCTGCTTGAGATTTTCTCTCTCCCTCTGCCCCTCCCCCTGCTTACAGTGCTCTCTCTCTCTCCCTCTCTCTAAAACAAATAAATAAATCTTTAAAATTAAATTTTCTGGGGGTGCCTATCTGGCTCAGTTGGAAGAGCACGCAACTCCTGTTCTCTGAGTCATAGGTTCGAGCCCCACTTTAGGTGTAGCAATTACTAATAAATAAATAAATAAACTTTATTTTTAAAATTTATTTATTTATTTATTAAAAGATTTTATTTATTTGACAGAGAGAGAGAGAGAGACACAGTGAGAGAGGGAACACAAGCAGGGGCAGTGGGAGAGGGAGCAGGGTGCCCAATGTGGGACTCGATCCCAGGACCCTGGGATCATGACCTGAACCGAAGGCAGATGCTTAACGACTGAGCCACCCAGGCGCCCTAAATTTAAAAACTACAAATCTCTGGTCAAAAAAGCATATCACAAAGAGAAAACATAAGCCAGAGACAGGAAGATAGTTGCAAAATATTAGGAAAGGGTTAGTACCCCAAATACATATGATATGAAAGAGCTAAACAACCCACTAGAAAAATGGGCAAATGGTATGAACAGGAAAATCATGAGAAAAGCCTAAGGAAAAATGCCCAACCTTACTAATAATCAAGGAAATGCAAAATAAAACAAGGAAATATGCTTAACATCTATCAGTTGGCACAAATAAGAAGATGTGATGGTACCAAATGTAGGGGGTGGGGAGACACAACCCCTAGGTATTGGTGAGGAGGATTAAACTGGTGGGCTGTTTGGCAAAGCTTGGTAGAGTCGAAGCAATCCCACTTGCATGAACTACCTAAGAAAATCATTTATTAGTGCCTAAACAGACTTGAATAAAGACTCATTCATTCATTCAAAAAACACTCATGAATTTCTTCTGACAGGCACTGTTTTAGGCTCTGGCAATACAACAGTGAATAAAGAGTTTAAGATCTTGTGGAGGTGAACACTTAATCACTATATTGAAGGATTCTGAATAAATTTTAAATAAAAACTTTTGATGTCTGACCTGTAGTCGATTCTCAAAGTCTAGCAGGTGTCAGTGTTCATTTCGATAGTCCTAGGCATCTTTGTTTTTTTCTTTCTTTCTTTCTTTCTTTCTTTCTTTCTTTCTTTCTTTCTTTCTTTCTTCTTTCTCTTTCTTCTTTCTCTTTCTTTCTTTCTTTCTTTCTTTCTTTCTCCTTCTTTCTTTCTTTCTTTCTTTCTTTCTTTCTTTCTTTCTTTCTTTCTTTCTTTCTTTCTTTCTTTCTTTCTTTCTTTT